TAAACTTGATAGAGTCCAAAAGCGTTTACGCGGCCATGTAGGTGATGAATTATAATCAACCCTACAACCACTTTCAAACAGATGCGATGCAACAAGCCTCTTGTTATTCAATCTCTATTTCTATAGCAAATGTTCAGAAGAACTTTTTTTTTATCATTTCACCCCATGCGAAGCAGTAAAGCCACTAAGACAGAAGGAGTTACCGAGTGCGAATGGATAAGAAACATAAGAAGCATTGCATTTAAATGTTTGCAGATCAAAGTTGACTGGAAAGTAAGAATTTGGAAGAATGTTCTACAAACGAGAAATGTGATAGAAGAAACTATCAGCAAAGAACTTACGGTTATGTCTAGCCCATCCATTTGCAAATTGATGAAACTTTGTTTCCAATCTAGTACTGCGATTAAATTCTTAAAGTCAAGGTACCGTCGCGGGGAGCTAATCCGAACAATTAGCATGAAAGTATTTATAGAAAAGGTACAAGGAAGCTATATTACAGCAGTGAGAAAGTGACTGAAGCCGAGATGCCAGGTCCGTGATCATGAAAACTTGCTAGCTTAGTTTTGGAGCTATTGAACTTTATAAGCCATTTTCCCTCATTGATCTGTTGGAGCTTGATCAGAGCAAAGAGCAGCCGCTAGAACGTCCAATATCGGGACGTTCGAAAAATTCTTATACTCGTTTTCACCCCAAATTACAGATTTTATTCTGTTTCACCAAAGCTGCAATTTAGGCCTATAAAACCTCTCCACTATTCAAGATGATGGCTTTCAGGTTGAAATTTTAGCAATTGGCCAATTTTGGCCATATATGAACAGACTAGCAGCCCACTGGGCTTATTTTTTGGCACGTATGCCAAATATTCCACAAGTTGTATTGATATTTTATTATTTATTTATAACTAGCAAGGTTATCTCACTTGGCGCTTCTGCAAATAGATTTTAAGATTGAGGATGCAGACGATAGTGGCTCTCCAAAGATTTTTGTTCTATATTAGTTTTGAAATTATAAATTGCTATGGCCTCTTAGGAAGGATAGTTTAGTGGTTCATCGTTGCAATCGCCACGATTTGGGATTCGGAGATGTCGTATTCATAGAAAGATTGTTGTCGCGTAACCAATTAGAGCCCTGGAAGCGCTATATATATATTTCAGCCATAACGTTAGTGGTATGAAATTAGAATTCTTCTTCTCTGAGACTGGTTGCCTCGCAAGACAAGGGTGCCAAACCATCCTTGATATTTAACCCATAGCAGGAGCACGGATTCAAACATTTTTTTAATGGCATTAGCGTAGAATAAATATAACAAAATCAGCGGAATTTGAACCCGGGTCGCCGATTAAACGATCTTCGAGGATATACGTCTAGCTATTCACACATCCAGACTGCTCATCACGCATTGATTAACACCCTAGCCTTCCCAGATATTTAACACTTAGCTTCTTTTTATTTTTTTAATCATTTTAATCATTTCACCTCGAATAAGGCAATAAAGTCTCTAAGACGCAAAGGTTTAATGAGTGTGAAAAATTATGAGGAAAAGAAAAAAAACGTTATTAAGGAGAGAGAACAATAAAAGAACAGGAATTAAGAAAAAAGAAGAAAACAATTCACATTACATTTACATTTTTGAAAATCAAAATTGACTGGAAAGTAAGCGGCCGGAAGAGAGTTCCACAAGCGAGAAGTGCGATAGAGGAAACAGTTAGCATAGAACTTACGGTTACATCTAACTATTTCAGCCGTAAACTGATGAAGACTAGCTGCCAATGTCAGCTTGCTTGCTGAGTGAGAACAGGCGGAATCATATTAGTTTCAAGTGCTGTAATGTAAAAGTGAATGCAACATACTTGCCCTAAATTTGGTCTCCACCATAGCTTACGAATGCATATCATAATTTTTAACATTTTAGTTAAGGGTAATGAAACATGGGTTTTATATGATTATAAAAAAAATGTGTCGAGTTAGAATAGCTACCAGTCTGTTTTTGACGCGTATAGGAGAAAGGCCCTGCATGCAGTAAAAATAATAGGACCACTGCATCAAATAAAGACAAATAAGATCCCCAACCCAAAAGGGACCGTTTATCGGGTGGGTCCATTCAGACATGAGAATAAACACTATTAATTTCGAGCTATTGCTTCAAGAAAAAAAAAAACCTTTGTAGATCTTTGATTGAACGTATGCCTCCTATTTATTTATTTTTTTTCATGTACAAACTGGTCCAATGCATACTTTTTTTTATTCAAGTACGCACCGGTATTATGTTTACCTCTTGATTCAACTAATCACTGGTTCCATGACTACCTTTTCATACAAGTAAGTACCGGTATTATGTCTCCCTTTTGATTCAAGTAATCACTGGTTCTATGTCTACTTTTTGATTCAAGTAAGCACCAGTATTATGTCCACCTCTTGAATCAAGTAATCACTGGTGCCATGCCTACCTTTTGATTGAAGTAAGCACCGGTATTATGTCTCCCTTTTGATTCAAGTAATC